AGAAGTTAATAAACAACCAGAACATTATACCGGAGTTTACAGCTGGTGAATGGTAAGACCAAAGTCCAAAAGTTAATGAACAACCAGAATATTATACCGGAGTTTACAGCTGGTGAATGGTAAGACCAAAGTCCAGAAGTTAATAAACAACCAGAACATTATACCGGAGTTTACAGCTGGTGAATGGTAAAACCAAAGTCCAGAAGTTAATGAACAACCAGAACATTATACCGGAGTTTACAGCTGGTGAATGGTAAAACCAAAGTCTAGAAGTTAATGAACAACCAGAACATTATACCGGAGTTTACAGCTGGTGAATGGTAACACCAAAGTCCAGAAGTTAATAAACAACCAGAACATTATACCGGAGTTTACAGCTGGTGAATGGTAACACCAAAGTCCAGAAGTTAATGAACAACCAGAACATTATACCGGAGTTTACAGCTGGTGAATGGTAAAACCAAAGTCTAGAAGTTAATGAACAACCAGAACATTATACCGGAGTTTACCGCTGGTGAATGGTAAAACCAAAGTCCAGAAGTTAATGAACAACCAGAACATTATACCGGAGTTTACAGCTGGTGAATGGTAACACCAAAGTCCAGAAGTTAATAAACAACCAGAACATTATACCGGAGTTTACAGCTGGTGAATGGTAAAACCAAAGTCCAGAAGTTAATGAACAACCAGAACATTATACCTGAGTTTACAGCTGGTGAATGGTAAAACCAAAGTCTAGAAGTTAATGAACAACCAGAACATTATACCGGAGTTTACCGCTGGTGAATGGTAAAACCAAAGTCCAGAAGTTAATGAACAACCAGAACATTATACCGGAGTTTACAGCTGGTGAATGGTAACACCAAAGTCCAGAAGTTAATGAACAACCAGAACATTATACCGGAGTTTACAGCTGGTCAATGGTAAGACCAAAGACCAGAAGTTAATGAACAACCAGAACATTATACCAGAGTTTACAGCTGGTGAATGGTAAGACCAAAGACCAGAAGTTAATGAACAACCAGAACATTATACCAGAGTTTACAGCTGGTGAATGGTAAGAAGAGCTACAGGATCCCTGGGCGTCTTCTTGCGCTCATGGCTGCAGGTGCCCTAATTTATAACTTCTATGGATGTTGAATTCAGGAATGTGAGCAAAAAAAAATTAAGAAGAGCTTGGAGGCAACTAAGATCTGGTTCTTGAGAAGAATGTCGCGAATACCTTGGACTGCCAGAATAACTAACAATGACTGCCTGGAAATCACTAATTAAAGTAAAACATTATATACAGCAATGAGAATTAGACAAAGTTCTTTGGTCATCTGATGAGAAAAAAAGCGTTAGAAAATATTATGACGACTGAAAAGTTCACTGGTAGAAGAGGCAGAGGCAGACAAAGAGAAATGATGGCGGATGGCTTAAGACAGTGGCAAGTTGGAATATCATCAGTGTAATTGATCCAGAACACCAAAGACCGAGATCTGTGGAGATGCATGTACACCTACACCAGCTGGCAAGGCACTTGATGATTATGGTGGTTAAACAGGGTATCTGGGATCTACTCTGTTGGTTGCCATCCAGACTGGGATTTTTGTCTTAATCTCATGATTATAAACCTTCGGGAGGCAGCCAGGAGAGCACAAATTGATCGATCAATGCAGGATCCCATTTTGACAACTCGAAGAGTTTGGGTAAGCACAGCAAGCCATTTTTTAAAGAATGTCTCTGTCGATAGGTGAAATCACGGCGTCAGTTTTACGTCCCAAAGGCATGTCCTGCCACTCATTGCAGGCACTGGGTTATTCGTGAAGCCAACCGCTTTTTCTTCTTCCAGTGCACCTTATCGCACCTTGGGAATAGCGGCTAAGCCACAATTTTTATAGACCAGTCGGCTCTAAATGGATGATGCAATCCCCATTATCCCAAAATCTTTGCTTCTCAGGACGTTACTATTGCATACATTTAGGCTGGATCAGTTAGGAAGCCCACAGCATAATCCATGATTGATCGATCGGTTTGTCCTCTCAGGGCTGCTACCTAAATGTTTACCATACTATTCTAAGATTGAAAATATGTTAATCTGGGCGACAGACAACAAGGCAGATCCCGACAACCCGTTCGATCTCCAGAGAAGTTTAAATAAGGCACCCGTAAAGACTACACAAACCAGGTGTTACCTTCAGTCATGTGCGGATAAAAGCGTTGCAATATCCACATCTGGGTGGGGATTTAAACAAATGACAACTGTACAGACAGATACAAGCAAGGGAAACGCATAGCCCTTCTCAGGGCTGACAGCCGACCGAATAGCACCACAAGAAACCACCAGAAAGCAGACAAAAATGGTGGCGTACCAACATAGAGAGGATGATATCAGGCAAAAATCTTTACCGCAAGAAGCAAGGACTTAAATATGACTAAGCCCTCGTGGCAGGTGGAACAAATCGAAACATTTCAAACCCGTCAGGCACAAGTGCCTGCTCTAAGGCTTCTTCCAATCCAGACAGATAGCACACAAATATTCTCAGCTTATACAAAATATACAACACATATGCAGTCAACCACAGAGGTTTTGGACAGACGAGAAAATTCGTGAAATTTGTAAAAGATAACATTTTAATTTTTTGGTTCCATTAAAAAACAAAAAGCTCCTTTGAAAACCATGCTGGAGAAAAACGTCGAAGGCAAGAGGTAGACAACGAAACAAGTGGTAGGACAACATAAAGAGATTGACAGACAACAGTCTTACAGAGTGAACACCCAAGACAAGAGACAGAGCGTGCTGGAGATCCATCACAGCCAGCCTCCATTGTGAAGACAGCACCAGATTAATTGCTAACTGACTAAACAGCAAGATGTGCTTTCAGAAGCTGTGTTTGCTTTCTCTTGCGGAGCGTCCCTTTACGCCCCTCAACCTCTCTCTCCCCCCCCCCCCCCCCCCCCCCACCCCCTAAAACGTGAAAGTGATACAGGTTTCTCCATAATCATATTGAGTTGAGTCAAAAATTGACATAATATCACTCGGGGCATTTACATTTGCGATCCGTCCCCATCATCAGCAGCCAGTGCAGAGTTCCCACACTTCTTCTTCTTCTTCAATCCTTCTGTCAGAAAACTTTAATCAGGAGGCCGGTAGCCTTTATAAAAGCTATCGTGCAGTCCAAATCCTCTCGTGTAACATACAGCTTTGTCTTCATTGTGGCTGGAACAGGCCAGATTGCATCTCTGCTGTCAGCATACAGTTGACAGTGTTGTAGCACATGCTCAGCATTTTCAGTAAATAAACAGAGGGGGAACCATTTGAGGCCGTTAAATATTATGAATTAATCAAGTAACAGAAAGAATTGTGAACGGCACTCATAGAAAGAAGTAGAAAGATAGAAGAACACACTAGACAACATTTATGTTTTTATGGTGTCCAGTGTGTTCTTCTATCTTTCTACTTCTTTCTATGAGTGCCGTTCACAATACTTTCTGTTACTTGATTATGTTGTCTAGTGTGTTCTTCTATCTTTCTACTTCTTTCTATGAGTGCCGTTCACAATTCTTTCTGTTACTTGATTAATTCAAATCAGCATTTTCAGGTACCACGCTGCAGGGGCACGTCTCCGTGTTTCCTACACCGAAAAGCTTGAACATATGTTGACGAAGTCTGTTGTGTCTAGTCCAAAGGGCATTGACCGCGACTGCCTTGTCGTGCCCTATAACTATGACAAGAAGAACTCGTTTTGAGTATAGGGTATGTTTGTGTTTCTCTAGTCCCTACACAGTAAACGTTTTTAAATAACTGGGTACTTGTCATGAGCGTTGTGTAGATCGTAATGTATAAACATCTCAGCGTGAAGCAATGTGGCTTTAAAGGGTCTAATGGAGCACACTGCATTTGCTCATAGATTTCATATTATTTGAGATTATATTTATTTGCCATGTAACACATTATTTTTATTTTTAAAGATAACAATAGTAACTAATATTAGCCACTTATGGCTTTGGCGCTTTTAGCCCCCCTTCCCCTTTACCTCACCCAGAAAATTTAGGATGGTGTAGATTCCCAACCCCTCTCCCACTCGAGCACCCTTGATTATTTCCTTGTCTCTGTACCCATGCTGGTTACTATGCTTTTGTAGTTTAGACGGGGAGGTAACTATCTATATAAGTGTGTCCTTGTTTGCAATTGCACGTGTGTTATAGCACGGCCAGCTCCAGTATGTAAATCTGGAGCTGGCCATGGTTATAGACAGACACGGCCAGAGAGGCACCTTAAGGGCTCACTACCTCCCCCCCCCCCCCCCCCCCCCCGACAATGTGCAAGGAGACTACGTGTTGAAACATTTAATCTAATTTCAAATATATTATCATATTTATTAGCCATTTTGCATATAATAATAATACTGATAAGAGTGATATAACAATAATGATAATCCAGTCTGGTGTATGAAGATTAACAGCGAAATATAGTTTTTTCAAACTTATTCTTAAACAAAAATGTAGATATTTAATAGAAGTAACTCGAATGAATGTTAACCCTTAGTGATTGTGACGGTAATTATCAGACATGTGTAGAAACCTTGTTGCAAATAGAACAGTTGACCTAAACATTGTAGCCAGAATGACAACCGCAAATTTTGCCTCTCTACCTGTCAAGGTTTGGGAGTAGCTCTTGTGACAGAGAAATATACGGACCGAACATACGGATTTTCAGTTTTATACAGTAAGATTGCCACTGAAAAAAGGCATACGCCCTTTAAGCCTGGCCCTCTAACCTATTATAAGGGGGATAAGGCACCCACCCCCGAGATTTTTGTGGTGGCGCATGGTATGTGTGCGAGCGTGTGCGAATGCCCCCTACCCTCCTTTTCCCCAAGACCTCAGCTTGCCTCTTGTTGACCGCAACAAAGTAAAAGTATGACCTTTTAGATATTATTACTTTCAATGATATGGGCACCTAAAAACACAGTTTACTGACCAATAGATTGTAGCATTTACCACACACAAGTCTTTTATGTCCTACTCATTATTGCTTCCACTGAAAACTTCAAGTATGGTGCTTTTCTGGCTGTCTGGTCATTATATCTCTCTGCGATACAGTTGGAAGCAGCAGCGGAGATAGATGGATATTCTCTGTCGGGCACGTTTGTATGTGCATTCGTTTGTGCCCCAGAAGAAGATGAATGTTCTGACGTGTTACCGTCTGTCGAATGTTTGATGCTAAAAGGGTTGCTTGGTCTCCCATACGTTTTTCTTATAGTGTCAGATGTTGATTTCCAAGATGGCGAGAGTAAAGACGGTGGAAGAACTGGCTCCAGCTCTAATGATGATAAAGAAGATGATGTTGAAGCCGGTGACAACATATCAGGGGCAACTGGTGATGCCGGACATGTGTCATTTGTATCACAATGATGATCTATAGAACTGGCTTGCTCGGGTTGTTGTATGGGTGAGTCCGAACCTGACCGATAATCGTGGTCAGAGACTTTAGGGTTTAACACATTGCATAGGGTCTTCACTGACCTCTTGGTGTCAACTCTCAGATCGTTTGCAGTTTCTGTTGGACGAAGGTCTGAACCGCCTCTAATTGACTGAGGAAATAAAAGTGGACTTGGAAACATTAAAGGATACATGCTGAAGAACTTCGCGGAACTCGTAGAGTCGTGAATAGATGGCAATACCACTGATGACGAAGACATTGGACTTAGGGGGAACCCCTGACACAATGATGCTGATCGAGTACCAAACAGACTTGGCCCAAGCGCAGCAATGACTGGATGCGATGCTTTTAGTTCTGATGCTAACTGCTCAATCGCCCTTTCCAAATTACCGCCGCATCCTTGCCAGACCAATTCAAGTAGGTTAGGATTATGGGTCGGGAACACTCGCTGGAGGAAGTCTCTAGGCGACATGTTGCCTAGCAACAGTCTTGACTTAGCGATATCAAAATCCGTTTGGCACTGCTGAAAACTTCTGTCGATGACAGCTTGCCGCTGTGCGTGGTGGAAGGCCAGCTGTTGGTTTTTTAGTTCAGTTTGACGCTCACGTTCCAGCATAACCATTTCCAGCTCTTTATCAGCAAAACATCGACGTTTGCGCATGCGCTCGTTGACCATAGGAGACATGGACTTGATCATTTGTGGAGCTGGAAGAGCGTGCAAGCGAGATCTGTAACCTGAAACCAAGTACAGATGATTTCATGTGTTAGTCATGAGGTCAAGTATTTAACAGACGTGCCACATAAGCTTTAAGATATTGTAAAAAGCGTATGAATGCTCAATCATGTAAAGGCCGTCTCCGTAATGAAGGCTGGCTGCAGTGGACTGGCTCTTGCTCGCGTTGCAAATTTCCTGTAACTTTTGTTTACCTTTTCTTTGTAAATCTTACATGACCGTCTAGTTTCTGAGATCCCATTTAGGGAATTAACAGAAAAGACCTACTCCCCCCTAATAAACATGTTTTACGGTGGACTAATTAAAGGGGTTTCCTTCAAAGTCGATTAGGAGGCGAGGATTCAATAGTCTGCATACTAATAAACTAGTCGTATGTAACGAATGTGAACGTAAAACTTGAGTTTTGGAACAGGGCCAGAAGTGGACGTTGAACAACCAGAACTTTCCGCTTGAGTTTACAACCGTTGACAGCTAAGAAAAATAAATAGAAGTATTAGTATCTACCCCTTGCTCAACAGAACACCGCCGTTGGTTTCATATTTTTTTAAAAATAAGAATGGTTTGCCTTTAATTACAACGGACCTAATTCTTCAGCCTAGGTTTTCATGCTTAGCACAATCATTCGTGTATCTCTGTGGCTTAGTTGTTGTTAAGGCAGTTTTATAATAGAGACATACTGAAATTCGAAGCAGAAACAAACTGAAATTCAAAGCAGAAACATACTGGAATTCGAAGCAGAAATATACTGGAATTCAAAGCAGAAACATACTGGAATTTGAAGTCAGCTTGTGTGTTATTTAGCAGCTAGCTGTTGTGACATCTATATGCCTTTTCATACCGTTCAGGAAGCAATAGAAAACAAACGAGCGTAAACTTTACAAGAATCACCACAAACCGGCAATGATGTTTGAGATTTGTTTGCCAAGTTCCAAGGAGAACATATAATTAAATCTGTTAGTCTGTATGACCTAAATAGTTCACTTTTCTCTTATTTGCTTCTTTGCTAGCTCTCTTTTCGTGACATATTTCTCTAGAACCTTTGTATTTTCTTTTTTTCTTATTTACTTTTTTTACTAGCCTCTCCTTTTATGACTTGTTTCTCTAGAGCCTGTGTATTTTCTTATTTACTACTTTCACTAGCTCTCATTTTATTACATGTCTCTCTAGAACCTTTGTATTCTTTTTTTTCTTACATGTTTCTCTAGAACCTTTGTATTTTCGTTTTTTTTTTTTTTACCTAGCTCTTTTTTTTTCTTTCAAATTACATATTTCTTTTGAATCTTTGTATTTTCGTATTTGCTTCTTTCACTAGCTCTCTTTTTACGACATTTTCCTCTAGAACATTTGTATTTAGTTGTTTCTGGCTTTCGTTATGCACTTATGTGTAACATGGTAGGAAAAATAAATATCGCAATAGCCAAAAAGTGGTTTCTGAGTAACATTCAAATATAGACGGACAAGTAGTCAAGTGAGATCGGTCCTTAAAAAAATTTAATCTGTAAAAACTGAATAGAGAAATTAAACATGTTTGATAAGACATAAACCTGCAACAATTACTGACCACTTCGCGACTTTCTGAGAAGAGAGCAAGGGGAAGACACAAAGATACATAACTGTCATCAGCATAACAAGAACACATTTGTGATCAGTGAGTCTGGATTTGAGGTTTTGAACAACGGTAGTAACCCATAAGTGCTCCGTTCTTCTTCTAACTCAAGTCTGAGTCCGAAAAAGCGCAGCTCAGTTTACAGGCTCTGTAGCACCGGCGAAGATACTAAAATACTTGGGTAGATTTTCAACTCCAAATTTGGCTTGGCAATTCCGCTAGGCTACTCTTTCGATTTCCAACTGCAAAGGGATTTTTTACGTGCGCAACAATGCATACGGGCATCCGATCTCACTACCCAGAGACCAGGGGGAAAAAACAAAAGTCCAAGTCCGCGTGAAAAAAATACCAGCCGGGGATTGAACCCGGAACCTCTAGCACTCGAGGCGGACACCATGCCTCGAGACCACGCAGCCCCCAGTGAGTCTGAATGTGTGAGATAGCGAACCATAAGCCGTTACGTTTATTAGTAAAGCACACAAAGATGGTGAGTATATGGAAGAGCAAGAAAGAATTCACATCCCTCAAAAAGTACGATAAGGGCTATTGGTTATGGTTACCATGTGTCCTCATCTTTACGGCCAGGTCCTGATGTCACGTGTACATCTTTTCGTTAGCAAAGTTCTTCGTTTTCTTCTTTGCTGACCGGATGTAAGCTCCGGCGGAAAGTTTTGGTTGTTCGTCTATTTGGACTATCCCGGGAAGTAAAGGCGACCGGCGTGATGCCAACCACATCATCCGTCTTGTGCCAATTGTTCTTTAAAAATATATGTCTAGCCCTTTATACCCTATACGCCTAAAGGCGTGGAAAAGGGTCCTTTACTTTTTGTTTACTATTTGGACTTTGGCTTTGTTTTAGGGCCTGAGTTGTGCGTGGACATCCGTTACTGGCTTTTTTGCATGCAACTGGTTGTTCCTTGCCGCTCGGGCAGGTGCACTCGGATTCGAAGGAAGCTCCCAGTTAGTCGACACCTACGACATGCTTGTTGGGGAGGCAGTGGGGTTTCTATCGTTTCCCCCACACAAGGACCCCAGAACCCACACGGGGAGTCCACAACCAGTGTCGGACATTCGTAGATTTGTCCGCATTTTCACTAGTCAAGACAAAATTGACACATTGTAACTATATTTAAAATTGTAAGAGTAGTGAAATGTACTCTGAAATCTTGATGATAGCGCAGTTCTGCTTTGCTATTGCAGCATACAAATCTTCAGTAGAAAACCTATTTTCTTTAATCGATGCCTAATGCCCCTGTGAAAGAAATCTTCTTAGTTTGCAATTATTCATGTCAATTTCACTTGTAAAATTTGAATGTCCAATGTTAAATGTTGAATTAAGAATCTACATCACAGCCACTTGGGACATCCCCATAAGCGCTCCGTCCCCATCTTCAGCAGCAAAAGAAGAGTTAAAATTCTGATGGTAAAAGTAGCTGTCTCCCCTGAGTGTCCAGCGTCGACCAGATTCCCTTGTAACTCCTCGCAGGGCCATTCTCCTCATACCGTAATGATCTATTTTTTCCCCGGCACTGTTCACTCGCTCCCAAAGGGTACTCACAACATCCAGCTTGTCATACATCAGTTCACACTTGTCAAATTTAATGTAAAACATTGACTTGACATGACTTGCTTTGCTAAAAAAATTTATCACGTTCGACCAGCATCCACCAAATGGGGGAGCTTTTGGTTATAATTGTGGCTAGGTTTGTTTGCCACATATAATGGCTTAGCATTTTTCGACACAAAGTAGCCCTGAAAAGGATTGTTGTGTGTTGATACCGTCAAGGGAGACAGACCCAAATACTGTCCCGACATGCGACGAAGCAGTCAAGGGCCAGTCAATGGACGCCGATGACGATTTCAAACATATCATATGCAGCCAATTTTATTGACATTTTATGTAAAAGAGATGCGTTCTAAAAATATCAGGTCATCATAAAAATACACATGCAACAAAATGTTAATGGAATTTAATGTTAGCAGAAGTGTCTTCATTTCGGAAAATAAAAAAATATGGCAACTCAACTATTGGTACCCAAGAAAGTAGTTAATAAGAGTATATAGTTACTCCAGCCTTTAGTTGTAATTAATGATGTTTCTATGACAGTTACATACGGTATCGATGCAAACCACCCCCCCCCCCCCCCGGACCTCTTTTCTCTCCCCCCCCCCCCTCCCCGGTCCTGTGGGTTCGAGTGCAAAACATTATAGCTATATTGTTTTCAGGTTTTCTCAACGTGAGCTGTTATACTTACTAGACAAAATCTCTCTGGACAACGAATGTTGCTGCAAACTGCGAAGATTCCTCTGTAACATCTTTCTCTGCTGCAGCAATGTGGCTGCTGATTTGACTTTGGCTTTGAGCGCACTTGTCATCTCGCTGGCTTGGTGTCTAGAACAGGAAGAGAGAAGGATGCCTTTAAGACTACCCCAGTATAACGATGCCATCTTGAAAACATAAAAACAAACATCACAGTCATCGATGTATTTTCGAGGACTTTATGGGAAAATACGGTCATCAACATCAAAATCTAAGCAAATCAATATCTGCAGCTATAAGGAAAAGACAGGCACTGTTCTTTAGTCTTGATTTTTTTGGGGGGGGGGGGGGGCGAAAAAAAAAGGGGGGGGGGTTACGAAGGAGAAGGTTTTTAGACGCTATTGTGAAGACTAGAAAAATCGACAGTGGAAGAGAGAGAGGCAGACCGAGAAAGATGATGACGCAACAAAGTTATCTTACAACAATGGATCTCTCAAAGTACTACAGTTAACTCGTTTAGTACCAGAAAAACAGTTTCGTAGAAGATGTCAGTGAAGATATATCCATGTTTAAAATTGATCAATGTATTACTTTCAAAATAATAATACAATAGTAGTAGTGCCATTGAATAAGCCAGATTTCTTGAGTATGTTCTGATCAAATACAAAAAGTAAGAGAACATATAAGGCTAGGGACGGGATTCAGCAGGGAGAGTAATTCCCACACCATGCGTTGTTTGGGACCCAACGAGTTAAACATCTTTAGCACGAATTTCAAGGGACTGAAATCCGAGTCTTGTTAGAAAAAATGCATGCTAACCGAGGACTAACAATACCAATATATCCCAGCTGTGGCCAACATTTATTCATTTTAACCTTGTGTTCTTCTTATGCGAGATGATCTTACCGAGGTTTCACAACATAAAGTATGTTTTAAATTTGTTTTAATTGTGTAATCTCCACGATGGATGTTTGTTACATTTGTTGAATATTGAATGTTTAATTAGGAATAGACATCATAGCAATTTGTGACACTCCCCTAAGCCCCCCGTCTCCATCTTCAGCAGCCAGCGAAGAGTTTCAATTCCGATTGTACCAGTAAATTTTCCCTTGAGCGTTGAACGTCGGCCAGATCCCCTGGTAACTTCCCGCAGGACCATTCTCCTCATTCCGTAATGATCGATCTGTTGCTCTGCACTGTTCACTGGCTCCTATATGACCCTCATAATATCTAGCTTGCCATACACCAGTTCACCACCAAATGGTGCAGGACCGACCAGTCTATCTGCCTGCTCGTTTCCCAACACACCAGCATCACCTAGAGAAAATATACAAAGAACCTTAACTACCCGGGACCTCTGAAGCAATGCTTGTCACCCTGCAGGAAAAATGTCTCTCTCCGCCTTTCTCAACTTACTCTGAGTCAGTGACAATCACGAGTTTGTTGCAGCATGTACATCCACTGCTGTCTTTGGGAAACATTACGTGCTAAGGCCTCCAATCTCTTCCATTGCGTAATTTTTAGCACAACTGTCTGAAACTCAGAAAACCATTTTTCCCTTAAACGCCCTTGAAGGAATCGAACTCCCGGTGTACATTCCGTGGTTCCATTTTTTAGAGCAGAGAATAGACCCACTGCCTCCTAAAGAGCAACACACATGTCACAAGAATGACACTTTTCCGTGCCTTGTCATAAGAATGACACTTTTCAGCGCCTTGTCATAAGAATGATATTTTTCCGCGCTTTGTCATAAGAATTATGATTTTCCGCGCTTTGTCATAAGAATGTTAATTTCCGCGCTTTGTCGTAAGAAATGATATTTTTTTCGCGCCTTAAGGCGCATGTGGCATATTGGGCTAGACCTATATTTTATAGACTAATTGACACTCAGTGGGTGTTGTGATCAGCAACACGCCGGACGCCTTGACTTCCTGGGACTGTTCCTGATGGCCATGGAAGCCTGGTTTGACCTGGCAGCCAAGGGAGACAAAAGTCCGGCTTCGTCGGGGCCTGAACCCACGACCTTCCGAACCGCAGTCGAGCGTCTCGTCGCTACACCACGGCGACTCCCAAGCATGTCGTAGGAGACGACAAATTAGCTGTGTTTTCTTTGAAGTCGGAGCCCATTTGTTTGACAGGGAAGAAACCCAACAGGCTGCATACAAATAAGCCAGATCTATACAAATGACGTCTGCGCAAAACATGTTCTGGAGCAAAACCAAAGTCCAGAAATGGACGAACAGCCAAGACTTTCTGCAGGATTTTACAACCGGTAAACATGATGAAGGAGAAGAAATTGAAAAACTGGAAGCCTTAAAACTGTTAAATGTATTTACAATAGACATTAACAAAACCACTAAACTAACAATGCTTCTTCTACCCTTCATCTCCAAGTGGAGCATGGACGCTCAGCCAACACACTCCAGGTCCTTTGTAGGCGTATTAATTATTTGTTGCATTTTGCAAAGTTGTCTACCGGATCAGGTTGTCAAAGGTAAAATGTTACAGGTGAGGGATTCAGCTTCAAAGCAATGCGTTCTAAACCATATATTTGTCGGTATTACCTACGGTATTCTCTAGCTCAGGCGACGATCCCCCGAAGATCTCAGTTGAAAAACGAACTTGTTGGTATATCTGCCATCCTTACATATGTGGGAGCAAAGTTATTTAAATGTTTTAACTTGTAATTTTTTTTTTCTTTTTTATCTTTGTAATTTTTTTTTTTTTTTTTTATGTTGGTAGGTACTTGACTATTGTGGCTATTTACCAGAATCTGGTTTTTCTCGGCATTAATATCCATGCCATATTTGCCACAGACTGTCTCTAATTTTGTAGTAAGTTCTTTAAGTTCTGCGTCGAAACCAGCCATGAGATAAATATCGTCTACAAAACATCAATTACATAGTGGTCTTCCGCCAATGGATATAGAAGTTTCATGATTTAATAGTGTTTCTCTCATAATGTATTCTAATTAGAAACTGAAAAGGAAAGAGGATAGCATGCAACCCTGTCTCATTTCCACACTGAGTTGAAAATGTGGCTATGTCATTTTGAATGAGTACTGCACTGTTTACATCTTTATAAAGTGCTTACTGATACATGATAAGGCAGACGTGGTTAGTGCCTTGTGGGAGAGCGTGTACAATGCGGAGGAGCAGATGGATCACCACAGTCTGGTGAGATTGATGCAGTGGGGAGTGACGAGAGGTTCTGGCAGATGCTCGAGGCTCAGAGAAAAGGCAAGACGGACGTTTGATAAGAATGCTACTGGCACCATTAGTATCGGAACTCTTCGCTGGCTGCTGAAGATGGGGACGGAGCGCTTATGGGAATGCCCCGAGTGCTGTGATGTCGGTTCTTGAATCAAATCAAATCATAAAGTGCTTTAGTAGCGTCTATGATGTTCTTATCGAACATGGTTCTGCAACGTTCTGTAAAGGATAAGCAACTAACCATAGAATTACCACCTGCGAGATGAGATGCCTGAGAAAAGCCGCCAACTGTGTCATCCGAGATCTAGTGAATAATGATACAATCAGACAGATTGTGGGAATTACAACTTATACTAGATTCATCGAGAAACAGCAGATCGAATGGTTCAGCCATCTTGTTAGAATGCTGGAAGATCAAATACCAGCGTATCGTTTACATGACGTTGCAAAACTAACCCCAACAGCCCCTGGCGGTTGTGTGGTTTTTCTAGACAAATTTACGTCCAGTAGTTTGCCATTGCTTTCTGGACGGTTGGCTTTCTTGATCATCATCATCATCATCACTTCTCGTTATGCCCAGTGGCACATGAGGCTTCAGAGAGGACTTTCCATGCTTTCCTGTCCTGTGCAATCTTCAGTGCAGTTTTCCATGTCAAAGATGCCGCACTCAGGTCACTTTCCATCGTTCGTCTCCATGTTGTTTTTGGGCGCCCCTGTTTTCTCTTTCCCTCTGGTGTCCATGTGAGAGCTATTTTGGCAGGTATATCAGAAGTCATTCTCATAACGTGGCCAAGCCATTTCCATCTTCTCTTGGTAATCATACTGTCTAAAGTTTCTTGGTTTGTGGCTTGAAGTAGTTTAGTGTTTGAGATTGTATCTGGTCAGAAAATTTTGATAATTCTACGTAGACATGTGTGGTGGAAGGTGGACAGCTTGTGTGCATCCTTTTTGGTCATTCTCCAACATTCCGCTCCATAAAGAAGAACTGGCAAAATGATGCTCTTGTAGAGTCGGAGTTTCGTTCCTCTGCAGTAATTGTTGGATTTCCAGATTTGCCTCATCCTTCCAAAAGCAGCTCTAGCTTTGTTCAGACGTGACTGTATCTCTTCCTCTGTCCCTCCCAGTAGGGACACCACACTGCCAAGATATGTGAAATGTTCTACATTTTCAAGTGATTGGTTACTTATGGTCACTGGTTGTTGGTTTGGACTGTTTGTTATGATGTTAGTTTTCTTTGTATTTATTCTCAGTCCCACCATTTCTGCTGTGCAGTTTAGTCTGTTACTTTTCTCTTGTATATGTTCATGTTTATGTGATAGGAGTGCTATATCATCTGCTTTCTTGATACCACTGTCGAAACCAACACAAGGCGCATGGCCCGCAGCTGGAATTGAACCTGGCATCCCGGGAAAACGAAGCGTTCGCATCGACTTAGCAACAGAGCCGACCAAATACCAGCAAAAGAACTATATCTCAGAAGTGCAGCTCCAAGCACACGAGGACGGCCACGATAAATGGATCGACAACATTAAAGGCACTATTACGCCTTCACGGCATGACAATAGTCAGTGCCAACAGCCTGTACTGGATCACAGATTATTCTTCACCAGGGCGCTTAATTGCAGAAGTCGTTATGATGATGAGGATAACGATAAAACCGTTAAACATACTATTTTAAAAAATCCCGTTGTAATCCCAATCCAGTCAGAGGCAATAAATTATCTGTAAAATGTGTATCTTCCTTTCCCCGGTGATAAAGTATAATTTACGGTCTAAGGAGAATGTCGCTGCGAGGAGTTACCAGGGGATCTGGCCGACGCTCAACACCCAGGGGAAGGATGAGACGGATATACAATCAGACGGTTACTGGTACCATCGGAACTGGAACTCTTCGCTTGCTGCTGAAGATAGGGACTGAGCACTTATGTGAGTGTCCTGAGTGCTGTGATGTCGATTCCTAATTCAACATTCAACAAAGTAGAATCTTCAGGAAGTTCTGACTAAAGTAGTAATAGATGTTTAACCAAAGTAATGTAAATACTATTATACATAACTAAAAGGCCAGACTATACAGAATTACGTTATATTCAATTCTAGTAGGATAATATAAATTTACTGTAAAATATTATCTCCCTTTCCTGACAGTCATAAAACAGTAGAATCTCCTCCACCCAATATGACATGAAGATGTAACTAAAGTAGTAGTAGATGCGAAGCCGAGCAAAGTAAACGTAACGGGTGGACGATACCAGGTGCTTAACGATAACCGAAGTCCAAATTTACGTACATGCAATCTGTTCTAATAGAAATTAAGATAACATTACTAATTAGCTGCAATGTATAGCTTATTAAAGCTGATATTGTACTTGCAGTTTCTGAGGGCTGACCACCTTTGGCCTCAAGTTCTGGCCTTTCAGAATGTTAATTTGACGTCTAGGGTTTCCCCGGGGATGTCAGAGTATACGCCGCTGATAAGAGCAAGGGCTGAAGGAATGGGACGCGCCGCTTCTGCCGTTTCATAATGCACGTGTGAATGATTATAGTTACAATATATTAAACGGGGCAGAATATATGAGCTACATGCGTCAAACTATAGGCTAAAGGCTGATAGGGATTAGGACATGACCTTAACATGAAGTATTTTTTTTTTTTTTTTTCCTCGTTCTTGTACCTGAAGCTATGATTCTTGTTCTTTTTTCTTCTCCTCATGAGTCCTCTTCATCAGTATTCTGCTCCTCCATCTCATCCACTTCATTCTCCTCCTTCTCCTTCTGCTGTTTCGTTATCACAGTTTTCTTCTTCTTCTACTTCTTCTTCTTCTTCTTCTTCTTCTTCTTCTTCTTCTTCTTCTTCTTCTTCTTCTTCTTCTTCTTCTTCTTCTTCTTCTTCTTCTTCTTCTTCTTCTTCTTCTTCTTCTTCTTCTCTTCTTCTTCTTCTTCTTCTTCTTCGTTTTTTCTTCTTTTTCTTCTTCTTCTTCTTCTTCTTCTTCTTCTTCTTCTTCTTCTTCTTCTTCTTCTTCTTCTTCTTCTTCTTCTTCTTCTTTTTCTTCTTCTTCTTCTTCTTCTTCTTCTTCTTCTTCTTCTTCTTCTTCTTCTTCTTCTTCTTCTTCTTCTTCTTCTTCTTCTTCTTCTTCTTCTTCTTCTTCTTCTTCTTCTTCTTCTTCTTCTTCTTCTTCTTCTTTCTTCTTCTTCTTCTTCTTCTTCTTCTTCTTCTTCTTCTTCTTCTTCTTCTTCTTCTTCTTCTTCTTCTTCTTCTTCTTCTTCTTCTTCTTCTTCTTCTTCTTCTTCTTCTTCTTCTTCTTCTTCTTCTTCTTCTTCTTCTTCTTCTTCTTCTTCTTCTTCTTCTTCTTCTTCTTCTTCTTCTTCTTCTTCTTCTTCTTCTTCTTCTTCTCCTTCTTCTTATTCTTCTTCTTGTTTTTCTTCTTCTTCTTATTCTTCTTCTTCTTCATTCTTCTTCTTCTTCTTCTTCTTCTTGTTCTTCTTCTTCTTCTTCTTCTTCTTCTTCTTCTTCTTCTTCTTCTTCTTCTTCTTCTTCTTCTTCTTCTTTCTTCTTCTTCTTCTTCTTCTTCTTCTTCTTCTTCTTCTTCTTCTTCTTCTTCTTCTTCTTCTTCTTCTTCTTCTTCTTCTTCTTCTTCTTCTTCTTCTTCTTCTTCTTCTTCTTCTTCTTCTTCTTCTTCTTCTTCTTCTTCTTCTTCTTCTTCTTCTTCTTCTTCTTCTTCTTCTTCTTCTTTTCTTACTTCTTCTTCTCCGTCTTTCCGTCGTGTCTGGATCTTCAGTCAGTTGAAGACGATTTTGTAAAAACCGCGTTGTGTTGACTTTGACAACGGAATGAAGGCCGTACCGGCTATAGAGCCTGAAATGGGCATCAGACAATGTACTGGGGAGTAAAGTAGGCCGGGGTAAATTCAACGTTTTATATATAAAACGAAAGAAAAACCACAACAGCCAAAAAATTCTCTGGCTGGTTCTATGACGTCGTGTAAAGGATACGCAACTAACTATATATATGTATAATAGTTAGTTGCGTATCCTTTACACGACGTCGCAGAACCAGCCAGAGAATTTTTTGGCTGTTGTGGTTTTTCTTGGCAATTTTACGTCCAGTAGTTTGCCATTGCTTTCTGTACGATCGGCTTCTCGATACCACTGTCGAAAACAACGCAAGGCGCAAGGCTAGCAGCTGGGATCGAACCCAGCACCACGGCATTACTAAGCTCGTTCGCAACGCCTAAGCCATAGACGCCGATATATATATATATATTCTTAAACAAAAGATTGGGACATAAATTGTTTGGAAATGTATACGGCGTATAGAGCTACCAATAAATAATTTTTTTTTTTAATTTAATTTTTTTTAAATGGTTGTCTCTTTTCTCCAGGACTGCACGCAATCTGTAGGATGAACATCTCAAGAGTGAGAACAGGACAGGTTTGAATCCCAGGAACTCCGTTCAGTCGTGTAGCCAGATAGCACAGTTATACCGGAGAACCAAAACAAAACAAAATTACGAAATAACCTGTAGTACAGAGTGGATGGGTTTGAATGTCATCAAGGTAAGATAGAACCTGGTACTAGAAAGTTACAACCATGATTGGCTATCATAGACGCCGACACATAGATAACACGGGCCCTGGGTGGAAAAAGAGGTGGGGGGGGGGTGTCTCAGCTGCCTTTCAAATTTTTGAGGGGTGCCTCAAGGAATATAAGTCTTGTTTAAATGAATACTAAAAATAAGAAGAATAAATAATAAGAAAGTGCTGAATGGCAAACAAATATTATAATATGTTTAAAATAGTATGATACGTATAAGCTAAACATTGAAAGAAAACTTATAAGCCTAGTTACGTTTAGAAGTGGGGGTGAGGGGTTGGAAGTGTGGAAGGGGGTTTGATACAGAGGGAGAACTTAGCGTCCTAACAAATAGGAGCCGCGTTAGCGAAGTCGAAAGCTTTCAAATCCAGCAGCGACTCACTGCAGCCACGGTCTGTATTCGAAACCCGACGGTTCCCGGGGTTCATCCAGCCTCTAGAGGAAATGGGTACCAGAGTTGACACTCTGGGGTAAATGGAGGAACGTCGCTGCAGCTACAGAGTTACGTGCGGACAGCGACACAGGCGGACAGTTTCTTTTCAGCTGTCCTAACTGGTGGCAGAGCACTTATGGTTTATAACCGTGTGCAATGACGCTGGTTCATATCCCCCGACTTTACCTTTACCTTTGTCCTAACAAATATTAGGCTGCTGAGTTCCGCCTGCTCCCTCTTTTTTAGCGGAAGATTCCACGTTACAAGGAATTCAATATTAAGTGTTTGAAACAAACTTTGTATTAGAAAGGGTTTCAGAACAATACGAAACTTACCTCCGAAGTGCTACCTGAGCCGCCATAATTCGCTGTCTTTCCACAACCAATAAACAGTTAGCGCACTGACAGTCGCGCCATCTGCAATACCGTTTGTGGCCCTTCAAACAGGAAACGACGCCATGGTTGCGACACCGAGCACACTTTGGCGTCCTTAGCAACCGCTTATGTGAAGCTGCGGGTTTACTATTGAGTTTAATGGCCCCGTTTTGGCTTCGTCCACCAACATCGACCCTGTTATCGCCTGATCCATTGGTATCTTCTCTCGTAGTCAAGCTGGTGTTTTCGGCCAAGTCGTCGTCACTTTGGAAGGAGTCGTCTATATTCAGAATGGTGTCATCGTCTGCTTCGTCATCACCGAGACTGTCGTCACTTAAATCAGACTGGTGACATGACATGTTTGATGACATCTGATATCGGTCGTCTTGTGACATTCTGGATTCATGTAAAATAATGTAATTGTTAGAACAACAATTTAAAAATAAATAACATGTTTGGGCAAAATATAAGTATAGAATAGAGGGAGTAAAATATATGATTACATCACCGATGCCTTAACTCTGTGAAAGAACTAAACAAATTCCAGTCAATAAAGATGTAAGGAAAAGACGCTGGTGTCGGATAGGACACACACTGAGAAAACTTAGGAACAATATAACTAGAAAGGCTTTAAACTGGTACCCACAAGTACATAGACATAAAGGTAGAACAAACACATATGGAAAAGAGAACAAAACAGTAAAATTTAAAAGATGGAAAAGACACGGGAAGAGGTGTATGCGGTAGCAAAGAATACAAGGAGTTGGCGTGTGTTATTGGAATGTCTATGCTCCACTGCGGGATACAAGGCGGAGGAAGAAGACTTGGCGTGAGGTGGTTGGGTGCAATACACTCAACTGGGGTTAATCCAGGCAGACAACAGAAAGTATTTAACGTTCATAAGTATTTACCTGTTTATGCACCTAAGTCGTATATAATGTCATCTGTATAGAAATGCTACGGACTATGGTACACAAAGGGAATTTTAAAAAAGGGGGTAGGGGGAGTGGGGGTTGACTGCAGAAAGGTTGCGAGCTTTGAAAAGAAGCACATTAAATATATGTGATAGTAACAACAGCTAGCTCTATAAAATACCTCCGTGGCATGGCCATCCTTGGGTAAGAGTCGCCATTATAAACCCCACCACCACCCACCCCTTTTCCGCCCCACCCCCCGCCTTAAAGGGTATATCCCTTTAGACAAAGGCTATTGGGGTTAAACCATAAACAAACTGGCGGAAGGCTAGGGGAAACCACCACTGTATTTTTCTGTAGTAGATCATGCCATTAAAACAATTGTATTCAGACAATCACGGTAATGGGGATTCTAATAGAATTGTCTCCTCCGGTAGGGAGCAGCATGTTCTACAAGTGACACCCGACCGTCATACAATTACTGTACAGAAAGTAAACGTCACTAACATCCTAAACATTGGTACATAGAATGTTAAAACACTTGTACGAACCGGAAAGTTGGACAACATCAAGAAGGAAATAGAGAGAATGTGTATCAAAATGTAAAGAATTTATAAAATACGTAGTCCAGGTGCAGGGAAAAGTATTCAGATAAACACAACATCATTTACTCAGGTGGGATGAAACATAAAAATGGTGTTGTTACCATTCTGGACCCACAAAATGGAGGAAAAAACTGTTAAAGGATTTTGGACCATTTCAGATAGGGTACTATTAGTAAAGATCCATTGCAAAACACTCATAATTGTTTGTCGTCCCCCTGTGGGATGCAGTTTTTAGTTATTTTATAGCCACTCACTGGCTTTTGCAGGGAGCAATGAATATAGCCGAGCCATAAACAGGGCCTAAGGGCTGAAAGGGGTTTCTGGGACCTCTCCACGGGTGATCCTCATCCGCATGGTGGTAGTTTGTGTCACTTGGTGTTTATCGCTTGTGTACTGTCCTGGTGGAGTACAAGAGTGAGAGAGAGAGAGAGAGAGAGAGAGAGAGAGAGAGAGAGAGAGAGAGAGAGAGAGAGAGAGAGAGAGAGAGAGAGAGAGAGAGAGAGAGAGAGAGAGAGAGAGAGAGAGAGAGAGAGAGAGAGCAAACCACTTGATTTAAATTTAAAAGAGGTGTATGCACCAACTGCATAGAGCTCAGAAGATGACACTGGTTAATTTTATAATTATGTATAGATGGCTTTTGATCAATGAAATAATTTTAAAGCAACAATAATAATAGGAGATTTCAGTGCACAAGTTGGAAGTGAAAAAGTTTGTGGAGTAACTGGTGGCTATGGTCTAGGAATAAAGAATGAGAAAAGTGAAAGAATAATATTTTGGTCTGAGTCACATAACATGCTAATTTGCTAACACCTGGTTTAAATACCGCCCTCGTCAATCAGGCGATTATGCCCGTAATCATATCGATTAGGTATCGATCAGAAGCAGTTTAATTGCAGCAAAGATTAGACCAGGAGCAGATTGCTATATTGGTCATGTTCCAGTAATAGGAAACATTTAAATAAAACTGAAGCCTATAAAAAAGACCCCTCACAATATCAAGCTGAATTTAGGAATACTTACAAAGGATAAGGAAATTAGGGAACAGTAAACGTCATACAAATAATTCAAACTATTGATGGATGAACAATGGGATATTCTACGCCAGTCAGTTTAGCTGACATAAAACAGCTGAATCCTCCGACACACAGGAGAGTCACACAAAACGAAAGGGGTGACAAATAAAAATCTGCAGATGATAGGTGAAAGAAGGAAGAAAAGGTACGACAAAGGAGAAAAGTCTATTATAAATAAAGAAATAGTAAACAAATGCAAAGTGTCTTTGAAAAACCTGGCTGAATCAGATGTGCACAGAGATACGGAAAAATAACGGGAAGGATTCGCATTACAAACACCAACAGATACTTATATTAACACAGAAGAAGGGATGTAACATTACCGGTTTAAAATTCAAAGATGGTGAAATATTAATAGGACATACTTAAAAGATAGACAGAGTACTTAGGGAAACTGTATAATGATAATAGACCAGAAGTATATTTGCTTGCTGCACAAGCTAAGGATGCATTACGTCACATGTAAAAAAAAAAAAACATCACATTGATATAAATTGAAGCTTTTTAATAATTTTAAATTACATTTAAAAAATATTGTTGAATGACATTTATACTAGTGGGTAATTTCCTAATGACTTATTAACATTTAAATTTATTGCTCTGGCAAAGAAAATAGACATTTTAAAATAAAAGGACCATCGCACCATAAGTCTTATGAGTCCTGTGAAAAATCTGTTACTGAGATTTTGATGAGAAGAACAAGAAACAAGTTAAACAAGTTATTAGTAAAGAACAAAGTGGGTTTGTAGAAGAAAAGGTACACATGGTAACATATACATCCTTATGACTCTGTCGGAAAGAGAGTAGAAGCTAAAAAAAATTTTTTTTTTTTTTACTTGTGCTTCATTGACTATGCGAAAGCATTTAGTTGTGTGAAACACGAAGAAATATTCTAACTACTGGGACTGTTATATCTTGATGGAAAAGATTTACCGGTTATAAAGTACATGTACTGGCATCCAAACCGTAGCCATAAGAATTAATAACAACTTGGGATCATTTCAGAACATAACAATGATGTGCGCTATCGCCTGATTTGTTTTCATTACACAGTGAAATTTAATAAGATGTATCATGTACAGGGTGGAGTCGTCGTGGCGTAGCAGCTAGACGCTCGCGTGCGGATCGTAAGGTCGTGAGTTCGCTCCCCGGCGAAGCCCGACTTTTTTCAAAAATGACCTCCACCCACATAGACCCAGCCTTAAGTGGGTACCGGGTGCTGTCCCGGGAAGTAAAGGCGGCTGGCATGATGCTGACCACATCACCCAACTTGTACTGTTTGGGCTATAAAATATAGGTCTAGCCCTTTGTGCCCTATACGCCTAAAGGCGGGGAAAAGGGTCCGTTACTTATTATTTTCTTCATGGATGTTGCCAGAAAGTCCGGTTGGTGGTCAAAACATAAACAACATGCGCTATTCTGATGACACCCTCTGGATAGTGACAAGTCAGAAAAAACTCCAGGGTTTGATAGAAACAGTGCTGGCAGAAATCGATAAAACAGGGGTCAGTTTGAAAAATGGGAAAACAGAAGTAATGTATATAGATATACACACACGTGATATTCTGAACACAGGTGAACAGTTTCTCTTTATCTCAGACACGTATTTACAGATGATGGCAGAAAGGAAGCATAAATCAAAATGAGAATAGGAATGGCTAAAATATCTTCTAGAGAGATAAATAACACATTGAAAATGATAATAGTCAGTTCTGTAATCTACAGTATTGTAGTATTGTAGTGCAGTAGTACAGTATTTTAGTACAGTAGTACAGTATTGTAGTATAAGTAAAGTAAAGTAAAGATCCTTTTTCACGCCTTTCGGCGCATCGCATATAACAATATTTACAGTAGAACAGTGTAGTAGTATTGTAGCACGGTAGGACATTATTGTAGCACAGTAGGTCAGTATGCTAGTACAGTGATAAAGTACTGTAGTAGAGTATTATAGTACAGAACTGTGTTATACAGTAGTATAGTATTGTAGTACATAAGCGGACTTAAAGTCTTATGTTTGAATCCGAACAGAAGCGGACTTTTCTACTTGAACTTGGCTCCCAAACTGAGCATAACTGACAATGATTTGTCTATTTGTTTATATAATTTATGGGCTTAACACTACACAAACGGTGCGACAATGGCGACAAAGGAGCTCATTATTGTGGTACTGTACAGTGGAACTTACATGCACTACCGCCTTTGGGGTTTCCTGGATTAGTCAAGCCTTTTTTCTTTTCTTCTAGTGTCCTGGCCGATAATACCTAGTAAGTAACCATTTAATTAGTTTCTTTCATCATGATATCTTTATCATCATCATTATTATCATCATCATCATCATCATCATCATCAGCATCAAGTGGCTTATCGCTCTACAAACTGCGATCTCCAATAGCCTGTAACAGTTTGTTTGCTGGCACCTTCCCATGCCATGAAAAAAAAAGTAAAGAATCGTCTTGCAGATCTTTCCGGTGGCCACAGCATGTTCCAGTTTCTCTACTCTCCTAACATGACTACAAACAAATCTCAGAGACTCAAAACATTGTCTGGCTTATTTATTAATTGTCCAGAGTTTATAACCATGTGTTAGAGCTGGCTATATATGGCACGCGAGAATTCTTTTTTACTAGCCTTTTGTGATAATATGATTTACTATTTCTTTACTATGAGATATAGGTCCCATACATTCTCCCGATAGAGTAAAATATAAAAAGAAAGAATTATGTTCTAAAATAGAATGAAACTCGCATTTCACCACCCTTGCAAATCATTTTTTTTTTTTTTTTTTTGCTTATGTAAAACTGTA